GTATCACCTTGTAAAACATTTATTAGTAATATTTGGTGATTATAATAGAGAGTAAGAATAAAATAAAAAATATACTCAGTCCTTCAACAATATTATGAAGAACAGAAAAGAAAATAGTATAAAGAAGAAAAAGTAGAAGAAAAAAGTTTCATTTTAGTCAGTAGGTCTAATAATTTGGCATGGTACTATAAATTTTAATTTTTTTCTGAATTAGTTTGCAGATGAATTAAGCAATATTTTTAAGCAATTTAATGAAGCAGTTTTTATATTTGTTGAAAATAAATGTTATAAAATATAGGTAAACATAACATAATATTGAGCAAGTTGCTCAATATTAAAATTTGATTACTTTGATGTAAGATTTTAAAAAATATTTTGCTGAATGCTTTCAGACTGTATATTTATAAATCAATGTCCATGATTTTAAGGAAATAGTATGTATTTAAAAAATAATACATCTAGCACTTACTGTAGATAAAAATAGTATTAAATTGAATAGAATCATTGGAAAATAAAAAAAAAAAAAAGATGATTGCAGAATTTAAAAATATTTACAATACAGATTAGTTGAAGGAAATTGATAAGAATTTTTCAATAATTTTGAACAAATTGATTATAATTTTTATCTTTACAAACTTCATATGTCAAAAAATTTTCAGTTTTTCACACAGTAATGGATTTTGTTTTTACTTTTTATTTTTGTTTTTGTTCTTTTTTGCCCTGTAATCACCAAAAGAGTCTTCTTTTCCATACCCATTATGGATTCTCCATGCTTCTCATCTGTTTAATCACACTGAAACAGCTTAATCATTTTTATCATACTTTTCTTTTTAGACTTTATTTCCTTAAGGTTTCCATTTCCTACAGCCATTTTGTTAATTTTTACCTCTTGTTACAATATGAGAAATAGTTAACAAATCAGAACTATATTCTTTAGCTATTTATTTACTTCAAAATCTTCAATTTACTTCAATTTTTGATCAAAATTTAAATTGGTAAGTTTTCTCTTTCTCTCTGCCATGAGTAAAGTGGATATGTAATGGACCTAAACTTAGCTTAACAACCAAGGATGTCTCCTGGTTAAAAATTCCTCAAATGAATGCAACAGTGGGAAAGTGTGAGAGACAAAAGTATCATAGTAATAAGAATAGTCATGAATCTATAAAAATTGCAAAAGTTGGACAGATTTGAAATGTACAGAATCTTGGGATAAGAAACCAGCTGTGTTAATAGTTGTTGTTGCTTGGAATTTTTTTGTGCACATTTCAAGTTGAAATTTCATTGTAAAACACCAGTTAGCTTTAAAAAATACATGCATTTATGTGGTTTGTGCTGCTATAAGGTGTGCAGTTAAATGGGTTTAAATAACATTACACAGATAGGACAAAATTTTGAGGAATATATTTTATGTACTTATCTGATTTCTACTATATATAGTACAATGATGCAGAATATAATAATTAATAAAATGTTCATATTTTTTATGAACATTTTATTAATTATTAGGAAATACATGATTAGTGAATTACATTAAAAAATTATACAATTATAATGAATAGGGCATATAGATATGCAATAACAATGTTTATAAAATAAATATAACTAAAATTTTAAGGAGAAAGTGTCCTTCAGATCACTTCCTTGTCATTAATTGAACAATTCTGTATGGTGACTAATTATTAGCTGAACTATATTGAAAATTTCTCAACACTTATAATTTATGATTAATTTTTCTATACAGTAATATCTCGACTTACATGAACCCGGAGTTATGCGATTTTCAAATCTCGTTGATTTGTCTTTTGTTTGAGTGCCACGCAACCTTGATTACTCACTCCCCCCATACTATTGTTCAGCTTACATGTTCGGACATGTTGCATGGAATCGACACATAGCTACAATTTTTTTTTTTTGTGTGTTTTTTATTTCTGTGTTTGTTATATTTACAGAGACTTGAGAGACTCTATGTGGTAATTTCTTGTAACCGTGAATGAATCAAAAGATGAGATAATATTAACAAGAACATTTATTAGCTTACATACATTGGACTTTGATTTTACACAAATTGCGAAATTATACCCCGACTTACGCAGTTATCGCTCGGTCCCACCTATCGCGTAAGTTCGAGGTATTACTGTATTAATGATATTCTTTCCATAGCATACTGTCGATTCTATAATTCTATTGACAATTCTTCTGAATATACAGTAGAGCCTCGATTATCTGACTCAATTGGGGACTGGGGTTGGTCGGATAATTGAAAAGTCAGATAACTGAAAAGTATGAAAAAATCCATTATTAGTGTAGTATATTATTATATCCCATGTAATTAGTATATTAGTATATCGCTATTAACCTACTTCGTGTTGAATTTTCATCAATGTTAAGCCTAACAAAAATTTTTAAAATAATAATCGTTGCTATTGTATTGTTAAAAATTAGAAAATTAAGCCTCATTTAAATACTGGCTCCCTTTCATGGTCAAATGAGTGTTGCCAGCTAAAACACGTAAAAATAATATTAAAGTAGCCAAGACATAGCCAAATATTGTAGCGCCACATCACTAGCGGACATTTGAAATTTGCCGACTAGGACGGTCGGTTAACCGAGGTGTCGGTTAATCGGGGATCGGATAATCGAGGCTCTACTGTTTTTCTATTTTGTATTTTTAGTTTTTCCTTTCATCATTTCCTTTCTTTCAGTCACCTGTAAAATTTCTTGATTTTGAAAAGTCAAGTAAAATTAGTTTCAAGGAAGAATTTAAATGAAATTCGAAGCATTTTCATTGAATTATGAATTATTGACTATGATATATATTTGTAAAAATAATTTGCATTTGATATATAAATGAATTTTTATGTCATCATATTGTATAAAGTTGAAATATTTTTCTTGTTTATTGAATGCAATCTGGAATTTTCTTTTGATTTCAGGATTAGAAACCATTTCTATGAATTATGAAAATTAAACAAAATAATTTCTTTGAGAAAATCCAAAATATATTTTATGCATATACTGTATTTTGGATTTAATGTTAAATATTTATAATAGAAATTGTCATTTCTAGTTTGAAGAGTTGGTTTGAAATAACAAAAATACAAAAAAAATGGTTTCACTTTTGTCAAATTCCAACACCTTCACCCCTTATAAAAAACAAAAAAATGTTTCCAGGAACAGGAGAAAACAGGTTGGCACAGGAGGTGCTGAAAGATGATGTTTTCAGGGAGAGAGGAATTTTGGGTGCGGGGAGGAGAAGAAGCTATCTAGTGGATTGGTAGAGAAGGCAGACTCTGTGGTTGATGGTTGAGGGTGTCATTCTTCTATGTTAAATGTGTTTTTTGTGTCAAGAAATAAATATGTTTACAAGGTTCTAGTGCATCGTCAGACTTAATTAATGAACCAGAACTATGGTCTCTCACAACTTTATAAAAAATATTTATTAAAATGATAAGNATTGATTTTAATTTCAAAAACTTTTCATAATTAGATGCAATGAGTAATCAAGCAATGCAATTTTAACTTTTAAAACTATAAATTCAGTTTATTTTTGAAAAGTTGGTAACAATCTTTCAATGATCTTTTTGTTAGCAAGTTTGAAATATAGTAGAATCTCACTAAGCTGGCACTTAAATTCTGTGGTATGTCCAGTAATCTGGCACTACATCTTATTATGGTGCAAGGTCTATCAGGAGACATTTGTATCTATGTTATGGTGTGAAATTGCAATTAAATAAGCCGTGCTTTTGTGCAGATAACTAGAAAAAGTATTTAAGGCTAGAATGGTTGCAAAAAGAAATGTGTTGAACACTTTTTCTAAGTAATAACTTTTTTTATATCAAATACATAATAGATACAGAGATACAATGTAACATTAGAAGACTATATAGTTTTCTTTTCTGTAATTACTGTATACAGTCAACTCACAATTTAGCAGTTAATGGAGGGTATATAGACCATGGTATTTTGAATTCCACGATAAATTCACAAATAATTTGAAAATAAATATGTTCACAATAATAGACTCTTTAGTATATTTTAATGTCATAAGGGAACTAAACAAAATAAAATGCATAGTACAATATGAAAAATATAGCTCATTACCAGTCACAAAGACTTTACTCATTTAAAAACTAAACAATTGCATTTTTTATAAATAATATGATTAAATAATTAATTGTGCATTAATTATGCTACATAACTATGAAAATTATAAATGGTATAGTACATTAACCTATAAAATTAACACTACTGAATTTAACAACTAGACATACACTATCAGGAAAAATAAGGCAATTGTTTTGCACATGCATTCCTGTCATCACCAACCATTGAAACTCAGAAAATCTGTCCCCATTAAATCTGGAGTTGACTGTATTAAAGAGTTTATTAATACAAGTTATGATAACTTGCATGTATTAGATATGTTTTATTTACCTACAATTCAATAATTCAGAAAATCCAGTAATTTTGTAATAGATGGATTTTAATAATGCCAGATTAGTGAGATTATACTGTTCATATATAAAACTGAAATACTAATTGATATTCAATAAATTGAAATAGATTGGGATTTAATTAAATATCATTTTGTTTCAAAAAAAAATATAAATAGCTTTATTTTGTATTAAATGTTAGATTATTTGATTTTCTAATTTTATAATATCAAACTGCTTTTTATTATGAATTTTCTTTTGAAAATGTTATACTCAAGTTTGTACAGAAAAAAATTAAAAACTAATATTTCTTTCTATTGTAATAATATAGTTCATGCCTCAACAAATCTACTTAAAGAAATAATAACATATTTAAATTACTGTAAAAATTGGTTCTTCTTCATATCTGCGATTATAGGAATTCAATAAATGAATTGTTTATAAATTTTTTTACAGTAGAATACACAAAAACTTATAGCAATTGTTTTCTTATAGATAGTATTGGAGTCTGAAATTTTATTCTTTTTCCTTTATATTAATACATTTTTATAAATATTAAAATTTCAGATATTCGTCAAATAGGAATATTTCGCAAAACAGGCAATGTGAATAAACAACAGTTATTAAAAAGTGTGATATATAATGGAACTGAAATTGACCTAGATTCTTCGGAATATGGTGTTCATGATTGTGCAAGTGTTTTAAAGTATTTTTTGTCAGATTTACCCGAGCCATTATTAACTGAAGCACATTTCCATGCTCATTGTCAAATTGCAGGTAAGAACAATTTATTAATATTTTCCTGCTGAAAAAATTAAATTTAAAATAAAATAAATACTAATTCTGAGATAATTATTTCTTAAAATAAATAAATTGGATGTTATTGCAGAAAAGAGTTGGCAATATCTTTATTCTTCACATAGGAAATTGTTAAAATGTTTTACAGTTGACCCACCTATAACACTGTTGATAATTCTGTTTTGTATGAAATCCATGTTGTACGAGTCACTTAGATTTTACAAATACGTGAGCTGTTCACTGCCCAGCACACGTATTTGTAAAATCTAAGTGACTCGTACAACATGGATTTCATATAAAACAGAATTATCAACAGTGTTATAGGGGGGTCGACTGTACTTATTTTTATTTCTTAGTATCTGGTATCACTCATGGGAAGACAAAATAAATTCTGTGTCATATATACACTGGACGACAAAAAAAATAATGCACCATGAAGGACTTGTTGGATTTGAATAAAAATTGATATGTTGCATCATCTTAGCTAGATATGTAAATGATTAGCTTTTGAGAGTAGGTTCTTGTGTTATATCGTCACCAGAGGGGAAAAAATGTTTCCGCTGCCTCGTATAAAGGTGCATGCTGTGACGACTTGTGCATATGTTCTGCGCTTTTATTCATGGTTTTGACTTCATTGAGTGACAGACATGCCTCTACGGCACATTCGACAGCCTTACACTCAGTTAAGTGAGTTTGAGAGAGGTTGCATTGTTGGATTGAGAGGAGGAGGATGGTCATACCGCCAGATTGGCCGCCATCTAAACCGTTCTGATAGAACTGTTAGGATGTGTTATGAGCAGTGGGTAAGTAGGGGTACACACGAATGGCAAATGGGTTCCGGACGCTATCGACAGACCACCAGAAGGGAGGATCGTCTCATTGTATATCAAGCATGAACAGCGCCTACAGCTTCATCATCTACCATTCATGCAGCGGTGGCACCTGCATTACAGAACCGTGTATCCAGCTGCACCATTTCCAGGCGCTTAGTAGAAGGCGGATTGATCTCCCAACGCCCAGTATGTGTTCTACCGTTAACAGCCACCCACCGATGCCTCCGTCTGCAGTGGTGTCGTGCACGACAATCGTGGACCGCTACCGACTGGCAGCGTATTGTGTTCAGCGACGAATCCCGCTTTTGTTTGGGGGCTCACGATGGCCGTGTGAGAGTATGGCGGCCCGCTGGTCAAGGTGTCAACCCGGCCTATACTGTGGAGTGGCACACGGGCCCAACCCCCAGGGTTATGGTGTGGAAAGCCATAACATACGACAGTAGGGCACCTCTAGTTGTCATGCATACTACCCTCACAGCCCAACGATATGTGCAATACATCCTCCAGCCACATGTGTTGCCCCTCACGGAAGGGCTTCCGACAGGCATATTCCAGCAGGATAATGCCCGGCCACAAACTGCAGTGGTCTCCCAAGCATGCCTACGTAACGTTGCCACACTTCCTTGGCCTGCACGGTCTCCAGATTTATCATTAATTGAACATGTGTGGGACCACTTGTCAGATCCTGCCAGCTGCGACAGCCGCAGGATCTGACGCATCTTGAGTCCCAATCGCATCATGCATGGACAGATATGCCTCAGAACATTATTCGCGACCTTTATGCCTCCATGCCGAGGCGTATCACAGCTTGTATCCGCGCTAGAGGCGGCCCAACAGGATATTAGTACCTGCACTGTATTGCATATTACTGCACAATAAAGTATGTTTTTGTTTTATGGTTGCAATCATATATCTGTCTAGCAATGACGATGTCATATACCAATTTTTATTCAAATCCAACAAGTCCTTCATGGTGCGTTATTTTTTTTGTCGTCCAGTGTATAT